AGCAGGTTCCAAGGGCTCATTAAAAGGCAAACCCTTTCCACTGTAGTTCTGAGTTTATTCCCACATTCCACGTGGTGAGTGACAGCAAATCCCCAGGCGGGCTCTCACAGGTCCCTGGCCTGTGCATGCCAACAGCAGGTCTGCAAACATGGGGTGTAACCCTGGGTAAACACTGCCACACACAGCAACAGTCCTGCTCTGGGGCTCGGCCTGGTGTTCACACAGCGCTTGATGGTGTAATACATGGAGTTGATTAGTGCAAACTAAATTGTAACTGTTATTAAAATTATTATTAGAAGCAATCAAAAGAATCAGTGTTTCAAGGCAGATGAACCCCTTTACAGATGTTATATGTTAAAACTGAGGTACAGGATGTCGTTTGGAAGGTAAGTGATGTCCCAAGATGGAAATGGCCTTGAGATGGACAAAATTAGAACGACTTTAGGCATTGGGCCTAAAAAACAGTAAATATAAGACTAATTGGTAGAGTTACAAAATACAGCACTTAGTACACACACTCAAACCTGTGAGGCCATCAAAAGGACAACAAGGAAGAAGAGAAGCCTTCACCAAAAGACCACCAAAAGAAGACTGAAGACCCCCGTAACAACAAGTGAAGCATGTGCCATGAAGAATAGTAACATAAAGTAAGAAAAATCGGAAATAGGAAGAAACTTATGGGAGACATTAATGAATATGTATAAGCATACAGTATATAAGTTTAGCTTGAAGTGCTTTGTTTTGTACATGAGGCAGAGTGGGAAGCCTCCGTACCCCGGTCAGTTTTGTACGTGAGGTGGCATGAGAAGCTCTCCCTGTACCCCAGTCGGTTTTGCTTATGCTTTAATCATACTTAATTACTGGCAAATTATATATATAAATTGTAATTTTTACTAAACTGTGTTCTTTAATACTAAATTATTATTTCATTTACTAAATTGTATTCATTTTTAATTCAACTTTTTAACTCAAAAGACCTAGTTGTCAAAATTCTAATTTCATTTATAACAATGGGAATGGCTGCGGCCACAGAGGTGCTGCATGGTCAACAGCACAGCTAAGAAACACCCTGTGACCAAAGGAAAGGTTTGTCTGGAGCAATCCCCATGCTAAAAACAAGCATTGCTATGCCAGTGGGTGTACAAACATGTCTATTTCACAACATGTCAATTTATGTTTCACTGTCATGCCAAGGCCAGGCTGGACAGGGCTTGGAGCAACCTGGGACAGTGGAAGGTGTCCCTGTCCATGGCAGGGAGTAGGACTGGATGAGATTTAAGCCCCATCCAACCCAAACCATTCTACAATTCTAAAACAACAGTGAAAGAAAGATACAGCACTACTATCTAAAGGCATTTCTAACACAAAAGAATCACCATGGCAAACATAGCCCTCTGGACCTTTTCAATTAAATTACTGCAGCCAGGTTCACTGAAAACAGGAATAATGGCAGTCTGTTACAACCAAAATATGATTTGGTCCAGCACGTATGCTCTAACAATCAGACAACTGCACAAAGAAGATAATCCCTTCTTTCATGTCTTAGGCAGTTTAATGGAACAGAATTATTTCTCACTGAAGGAGATTTTAGTTAACCTAAGTGTAAATTACATTTCTCTTCATTTCCTTTACCTGCGACCTCCAAAGCCACTTTTCTTTCAGCAATAATGTTCTGTACAGAACTCTACAGAACTGTTCTGTTTTGTACAGAAATCATGAAGCAATGACTCTTGAGAACCTCAGCAGCTAGTCCAACAGCTCCCAGAATTGAGCTGGGACATGATTGCTACATCTGGGTAATAACAGCATAATGTTACTGTCATTAGATCAGAAATTAACTTTATTTTCGGTTTAGACATTCTTAGCACAGGATAAAGCCCATCAAAATAATCAGCAACAAAAAATTAATTCATTTTTATTTAAGAATTTTTGGCATATACTTGTATCTTTTAAAATAATCAGCAACTTCTGCAAACCAACATACTAAAGGTACCACATCCCAATAAGACCTTCCCATTAAGAAAAAAATTACTTGAAATTAGTTTATTTGAATGATGTTTTTTCAAATATTGATTTATTTATATTTCCTCAATAGTATTTAAATAAAGCTGGACAAGTTTAATGCTGTAGAACTTAGGTCTAGATTTGCAGTACTTTGATCCCCTAAAGATGCCAACTCTGAAATTTTCTAGAAGTCTTCAGTGTAAATGAAGCTGATACTTGGTCTAGGAAATTCTGGAAGATGCCCACATGCCACCATCAGGTGCCTAAACCTTTTGTAAATCTTGTTTTTAGCGAGAAACAAGCACATGGGAATTCTCTCAGTTAAATTCAACTCACTTGATCAATATTATTCCCTCACATGAGAATTTCCTTAATTTCCACCTGCTTATTTTTCTTAAAGGCTTTGTGCACTCCTTTGCATCCCAACAGATGACCTCATGCACTCCAGCCCAGACTTGGGCCTTTGTTTTCACTTGATTTTTATTTAACTATTCACAACACAACAGGATTATTGACCTATTCTTGAAAAAGAATAGGGCCAGAGGAGTTATAACACAAATCTCCTGACAGGACTTCAGTGAAGTGTCTCATAAAGTTTTGTGATGTACATTACTCGCTTTAGGGTTTAACTGCAGCTAAGAAAAGCAGTGGAACACCATTCCAGCGACCACAAATGTATAATCTTTTTTTGCATTATCTGCCTGTTTTAGTTTTTGCAGTTTTTTCAGAAAAGGCCTTCTTTTGCAGAAGGCCTGGTGTTTAAATACAGTGCTGGTGCACAGCTTGAAGCCTGGTGCAGCCTGCAATCTAATTTACTATATACTTTATTTTCTATGTTATTATTCAATGCATTTCCTTCTGTAATAATATCCTAAGTAATTTTAAAAAATGAATTATGGAGACTTCATAAATTCATAAATGAGTACATTTACAGATTAATGGAGCCCCAGTAATGCTCCTGCTGTACTTTTTGTTGTGTTCACAGCTGTTTAGAGGTAAATACACTCTATGGTCAGTTTATGAGACGCCCAGCATGTTAAAACAGCATGGAAGGGATAATCTCTTCAGCAACGCTCAGGATGTCAGAACACATATTCTTATTTATCTGTAGAGCTGCAGCTTGGACTGGGCATGACTGGGAAATCTCCAATCCTGTGTCCAGCTTTGGGCCCTTCATGACAAGAAGGACATGGAGGGGCTGCAGCGTGTCCAGGGCAGGGAACAGAGCTGGGGAAGGGGCTGGAGCCCCAGGAGCGGCTGAGGGAGCTGGGAAAGGGGCTCAGCCTGGAGAAAAGGAGGCTCAGGGGGCCCTTGTGGCTCTGCACAAGTCCCTGCCAGGAGGGGACAGCCGGGGGGGTCGGGCTGTGCTGCCAGGGAACAGGGACAGGAGGAGAGGGAACGGCCTCAGGCTGGGCCAGGGCAGGGACAGGGGGGACAACAGCAGCAATTTCCCCATGGAAAGAGGGGTCAGGCATTGAAAGGGGCTGCCCAGGGAGGTGTTGGAGTTCCCATCCCTGGAGCTGTCCAAGGAATGAGTGGATGTGGCACTCAGGGCTGGTGACACTGTGGGGATTGGTCACAGGTTGGACTCCGTGGTCTTTTCCAACCTAAATGATCCTTGGATTCACTGATCTGATGGGGGTTATGTTCCAAAGATGAGACAAGAGCTGGTTAGACAGCAATTCCAAACTCAGGTCCAAACAGAGTGGCTCGTTAAGGAAGAGCAAACAGTATTAATCAAGGTCATTAACACGGAGGTGTCTGTGCCCCAGCTCATTGCAGTCATGGCTGTGGCTGCAGGGGCAGAGCTGTGAACGCTGTGGATCAATTCACACCAGCTCCGACCAAATCAGGCACCGGTAGGAAATGAGACACCTCTGCAGGGGCACTGGGCAAAATCAGATACCAGGGTAGTTAATTAACTGGTGAAAGGAATCAGTCACAAGAATAAGACTGGACCATAGTGACAGTTCAGGGACTGCCTGTATAAAAAGGTGCATTTTTAGGCGTGCCTGAGGGAGCATTTTAGGGAAATTAAATCATAAAGAACAATCTAAAACTGCTAGAATGGTTTCCTTTTTAATCTTTTAAAGAGCTCTCTGGTTTGGCAGACAGGAAAAAGCAGGAATTACCACTTTTATTCCTTACTAAGCACAGGGACATTTAAAACCCTTCACAGCTGGGATGCAAGTCAGCAGCAGAATCCATCTTCCCAGGAGGAAGTAAAAGCTTGCCCAGTGAGCTCAGTTATTTTAGGACTTCCTTCTGCCTGGGGCCTGTCTCCAGGTTTTCAAAGATTTTGTCACCATTTTAAGCATTTATAGCTCTGAGCTCTAAGAATGCTGTGATTCTGTGTAATAACTGCATGAAGCGACTTATTTTTAAGTAAAATCCTGGTTTATTGTAATGAAAATTCCACAAGCATGTTAAAGAGGTTTTAGTTGGATTTTTTTTTTTTTTTTTTTTTAAAGCCAGAACTGCACCATTTAAAATCACTACAACAGAACATAAAGCAACATTCTCTTGCATCATGCCTCTGCTGCTCCTCTTCAGGAAAAAAAGGGCGTAATATTTCAAGGAAAATAATTAAGGGAAGTATCACATCAAGACTTTCTGCTTTTAGTAAGCTAAATAAAATCTGTATGTAGTATAACTCCTTTAGCTCATCCACAGATTTGACATGAAAATCTAAATTCTTCACAGATAAATTATGAGCTTTTGTCACAATGCAGTCCACAGTTCTTCACCAAGAAGAGATAAAGCCTTTAAGGTGAAAGCCTCAAGTACTGCACTAGCACTTAGTGACATCAAGATGCTAAAATACATTTACCTTCCATAAATAGATTTATTCTTAAGTTATTTAACCTAAACTCTAATCACACCAAACAGATGGTAGATGAAAAGTAGTCCCAGCAAAGAAAATACAAAGAATTTCGGCTTTCAAATATTTTAAATAAACAAATGAGCCAGCTGCCATTTTAGTGACAAAAGAGACCTCCTCCTGCAAGCAATAAAGGTTTTATTCAGCTAAAATGTGCAAAGAATAAAGTCTCAAAGTGAGAGGAATATCAGCAGTTCATACTGGACATGAGGGAGTAAAATCCTTAGGAATTAACTCCTTTAAGCTGTTTTCTTGTCATCAACTGCTGTGGAATTCTTTGCAGCACTTCCATTTGCAATGCCATTGCTTTCAGACTGCAAATAAAAAACAGCGTCATTAATGAGATGTCAAATTAGAACTTCACACCTAAAACAGGAACAGCTGGTGACAAAAATGGCTTTTAGAAGCAAGGCCAGTAAAGATCTACCAAGAAATATGGAGCAAGAACCAAAAATGGTGGTTTCTGTGTAGATTTACAGATGATTATTGTCTCAGGGGGAAGGGAAAAATGAGGGCAGCGACAACATTTACAAGGCCTTGTGTTGTGATAGAAGATAAATAATAAAAGCATAATTTATATGCATTAAGCATCCTCCCCCATTTTGAGTGGCAGAACTGGCTGAAGAGAGGGGCTGTTTTTAATTTCTGCTTCATACATCTGTTGGGATTCACCAAATACTTGACATTTTTCTTCTCTGCAAGAACAGCCATTTGTTAAAAAATAATAACAATTACGCTGTTTCAGGATACAGGCACAATTCCTATTCCTCTGAGACCAAGAAGCTGTCTTGAAGCAACCATTTCTAGCTGGCACAGTAGTGGTAATTGCTGTTTCATACAAAACATCTGTTAACACACCCAATGAATAAATTATTCACCCTCCTGTGGTGCCTGCTCTGAGCTACCACTGGGTGGCTCATCCTGGAGCTTCCCTGCTTAGCTGGGGGAATTAATCTTACTTTTTGGCTTCCAGATTCATCCTCCCAGTCTCTTTTGGCGGCTGCAGGTCCCTGAGGGTCCCCAGCGCTGCCTCCTGGCCCCTGCCTGGAGTTGTCTGGCTCCTGCACAGCCCTCTTGGGCCAGATGCGCTTGATGAAGGGCGCGATCATGGGGTAGATGTAGGGCTCCACGAACTTCTTGTAGACCCAGAGCAGAACAGGGATCACGATGCAGGGAATGCACACCATGGCTCCTTCTTACCCTGGAAGAGAGATGGTGAGAGAGGGGGGAAAAAACAGCTTAGGGCAGCAGTGTTTGTATGCCAGAAGCTGAGAAAACGGTATTCACACAGTAAATAAAACACATATCTGATATTCAAACGTAGATTATTCTTTAATTATAAATTAGCTGCTAAAGTTTCAAAAATGATGTGTGTTCTAATATTATGAAGCCTCCAACAGAGGGAACATTCTTGCCATTTTAATGGAAAAACCAGAACAGTTTGCTATTAATTCATCAGTCCTACAGATGCAATTAAGCAAAACAAATTCAGGAAAGAGTTTCTGCTTAAACCACACAAAAAAGTTTAAGCAGTAAGCTGCCAATATTAGCCCTGCTATTTAGTGCCTGCTATATTAAGAGTCCAAAGGGTTTGTTTTGCTCAATCCATTTTTATTTAAGGAAAAATTAGACAGCAGAAATCCATCCAATGGGTTGCCACCACTGAAGGGCAGGACAGTGGGAAAAGGGAAAAAAATTCCAGTCAGAATTTGAGAGAATTGGAATATGGGTTACTTTCTTTCTTCTGCCCTCACTTGATCCCAGACCAACCCTATAAAATTAACTATCAGAAAATGAACCATGCCCTCTTCCTGAAACCCCACAAGTCTTCAAAATTTGCACCTTGGAGTCTATGATTAAAAAAAAAGCAGGAAAGCAAAGCAAGGGGGCAGAGAGGTCCAGCTGGGAGAGGAAGCAGTTAAACAGTTAAACCTGTTCCTGCCAGTGCTGACAAACAATACATTAGACACACTCTGCTGCCACACAACTTTGCCCTTCACAGTCCTCCTCTCTAGGCTGCTGACATCTCAGTTCTTACATTAAGAAGCAAAAAAAAAAAGCTTTACAAGATGGAGAATGAAGAAGCAGATGCACACACTTCACTAGGGACCAGTTTCGCTTTTTTTTTTTCAACCTATCCTGAAGAGTTTTAGCCTTGTGGAAAAACAGTGAATCAGTTTCCAGCTGGCTACTTCCAGGTTCTGTTCTGGCTGCTTCAAATACAGTTTAAATCTACTCTCTGAAGTCTGAGAAGAATGTTATATTGAAACAACACAAATGAGTTAATCCGTTAAATTAATTAAAAAAATAAAATCAGATACTGTCTCCACTAGAGCTTCCTAAATATTAAATTTCCAGCAAAACGTGGATTCATCCAGCAGCTTAAGAAAGTGGGTGGAGGGAACACCTCAGGCTGCAGAATCACTACAGAATTATCTGGGTCGAAAGAGAGCTTCAAAATAATTTTTTTTCTATTCCCTGCCATGGGTAGGGACACCTTCCAGTGTCCCAGGCTGCTGCAAGCCCTGTCCAGCCTGGCCTTGGACACTGCAGGGATGCAGGGGCAGCCCCAGCTGCTCTGGGCACCCTGTGCCAGGGCCTGCCCACCCTCCCAGCCAGCAATTCCTTGCCAATATCCCAGCTGGGCCTGCCCTCTGGCACTGGCAAGCCATTGCCTGGGTGTTGTGTCCCTGCATGCTCCCTCCGAGGGAAACAGCACGTGTTGTGTTGCCTCTGCAGCCGCTTCGTGTCAAAATTCCTGACCAAAAATCATCCGTACCTCCGCCTGATGCACCAGCGGTCCCTGGGATCAAGGTGAAACACCGTCCCGATGAATTCCTGCGCTGACTTGGTGATGCTCCGCCACCTGGTTAGCAGGGAGAAAGAAGAAGAGGAGGGAGAGCGGAGGTGGTGAGGCTGCGGCCGGCGGGTTAATTTCCGCGGCGGGCGGTGCTGCTGCTCTCCGTGAGCCCCCACCCGCGGGCCAGCAAACCTCGGCACGGCACGGCTTCGTCACCAGCCGCCGGAAAACGCCCCAAAGGGCAAAACCGCAGGGTTTTCCCCGTTTTCCATAAAGGACGAGCCAGCCGAGAAGGCTGGCTCACATCAGGTGTTGCTGTTCTGCTCTCCGAGGGCGGTTGGGGCCGGTACAGACCGTGAGCCCCCCGTTACCGGCACCGCCGGGCCCGCGCGGGCCGTGCGGAGCGGGGCGGGG